ACCAGGCAGACCAAAAAATTAAATAAAGACATAGTTGTCTCTGTGGCGCAATCGGTTAGCGCGTTTGGCTGTTAACTGAAAGGTTGGTGGTTCAAGACCACCAAGAGACGATTTATCCTTTTGTCCATTGATCGAAAAGTTTTGAGTGAATTGAAATTGTGGGGCTCGATACCACAACCCAAGAGTCTCATGCTCTACCGACTGAGCTAGCCAGGCTGACATGCAACCTTTCATTTATTGTCACCTACCTCTCAGTTCGAGCAACTCCAGAGACTTATGCTCCACTGACTGAGCTAACCAGGCAGACCAAAAAATTAAATTAGTGCATAGTTGTCTCTGTGGCACATACGGTTAGCGCGTTTGGCTGTAAACTGAAAGGTTGCTGGTTCAAGACCACCCAGGGACGATCTATCCTTTTGTCCGTTGATCGAAAATTTTTGAGTGAATTGAAATTGTAGAAAGTGATGAAAACATTATGCGCCCAACGTGGGGCAACACCAGAGTCTTTTGCTCCACCGACTGAGCTAACCAGGCAGACCAAAAAATTAAATAAATTCATAGTTGTTTCTGTGGCGCAATCGGTTAGCATGTTTGGCTGTTAACTGAAAGGTTGGTGGTTCAAGCCCACCCAGGGACGATCTATGCTTTTCTCCATTGATCGAAAAGTTTTGAGTGAATTGAAAGAGTTTTGAGTGAATTGAAATTGTAGAAAGTGATGAAAATAATATGCGCCAACGTGGGGCTCGAACCCGCAACCCTGAGATTAAGAGTCTCATGCTCTACCGACTGAGCTAGCCAGGCTGACATGCAACCTTTCAATTATTGTCACCTACCTCTCAGTTCGAGCAACACCAGAGTCTTATGCTCCAAAGACTGAGCTAACCAGGAAGACAAAAAAATTTAATAAATTCATAGTTGTCTCTGTGGCGCAATCGGTTAGCGCGTTCGGCTGTTAACTGAAAGGTTGGTGGTTCAAGACCACCCAGGGACGATTTATCCTTTTGTCCATTGATCGAAAAGTTTTGAGTGAATTGAAATTGTAGAAAGTGATGAAAATAATATGCGCCCAACGTGGGGCTCGAACCCACAACCCTGAGATTAAGAGTCTCATGCTCTACCGACTGAGCTAGCCAGGCTGACATACAACCTTTCATTTATTGTCACCTACCTCTCAGTTCGAGCAACTCCAGAGACTTATGCTCCACCGACTGAGCTAACCAGGCAGACCAAAAAATTAAAGAAATTCATAGTTGTCTCTGTGGCGCAATCGGTGAGCGTGTTCGGCTGTTAACTGAAAGGTTGGTGGGTCAAGCCCACCCAGGGACGATATATGCTTTTGTCCATTGATCGAAAAGTTTTGAGTGAATTGAAAGTGTAGAAAGTGATGAAAACATTATG